TCACTGCCTGAGCACACGTCGTGCTTCTCAATCAACCCGTGGCCCGAGGAAGCTTAGGAGCAGGTGGGGGGGGCTTCTCTCCTTCCAAGCCCACCCCCCCCGGGGCCTCACTTGTTCAACCAGTTCTGGATCCTGGACCCAGCTGCGCCCTGACCTCGGAACTCTCGCTCTCGAGGAGTCTGCTTCAAGCTCCTGCAGACAAGGACTGAGCAGTGGCGTCGGGACCAACTTGGGGAAGCCTCTGAGAGTTTTTTTGGCTGGGGCGTGCACCTGTGGTTTTAACGCTCTTCTCTGTTTGCGCCCTGACCTCGGAACTCTCGCTCTCAAGGAGTCTGCTTCAAGCTCCTGCGTCGGGACCAACTTTGGAAAGCCGCTGATAATTTTTTGGCTGGGGCGCGCATGTGTGGTTTTAACGCTCTTCTCTGTTGCCGCCGGGGACCCGTTTGCAGACAAATCCGGAAGAAGAAGAAGAAAAAGAAGGAGAGATTGGATTTATACCCTGCCCTTCACTCGGAGTCTCAGAGCGGCTTACAAACTCCTTCCCCTTCCCCTCCCCACAACAGACAGGCACCCTGTGAGGTGGGTGGGGCTGAGAGAGCTCTGACAGAAACTACTCTTTTTCAAGAACAGCTCTGAGAGAACTATGGCTTGCCCAAGGTCATCCAGCAGGTGCGAGTGGAGGAGTGGGGAATCAAACCCGGCTCTCCCAGATTAGAAGAAGAAGAAGAGATTGGATTTATACCCCGCCCTTCACTACCCAGAGGAGTCTCAGAGCGGCTGACAAACTCCTTTCCCTTCCCCTCCCCACAACAGACACCCTGTGAGGTAGGTGGGGCTGAGAGAGCTCTGACGGAAACTGCTCTTTTTTAAGGACAGCTCTGACAGAACTATGGCTTGCCCAAGGTCATCCAGCAGGTGTGCGTGGAGGAGTGGGGGAATCAAACCCGGTTCTCCCAGATTAGAGTCTGCACACTTAACCACTACACCGAACTGGCGAAGCGTTAACATATGGACGCTACCCATGGGTCGGGTCAGCCGGATTGTAAGGGCAGCCTCGGTCCGCTAAGCCACGGGGAATTGCAAGTTATACTTTCGGGTTCAAGAGAGGTTTTGCCCAGTTGGCAGATTACGCATGGGGGGGGACTTCCACCCCAGAACAAAACGAGCTTTGTACTTGGAAATGCAGTCCATTGTCCTCGATCCTTTCGAGGAAGAAGAAAAGTAGGGTTTCCCCTCTTGGGGCGCGAAGCATTTTAGTAAGGTGGCTTGTATGGATATCAGACTCGTCTTGTGGCTGCCGTCCCCAGCTTTGTCCTTTTGGAAGGGGAGGGGGATCACAACGTAGCACAGCGGCCAGTGTTCCCTCTAAGCTGAGTTAGTGTGAGCTAGCTCACAGTTTTTTAGCCTCCAGCTCACAGATTTTTGTCTTAGCTCAGGAAGGGATGGCTCCAGGGCAAACTAATCGATGCAGCAGCCAAATGGCTGGCTCACAACTTTAATGCCAGTAGAATGTTTGCTCACAAGACTTCACAGCTTAGAGGGAACATTGACAGCGGGCCAAAGTAATACTGGGATAAGGTAGGGGTGGGTACGAGACCGCATTCTGTTGCTTGTCACTGGGTGCTCAGTCCCAGGGCCCAGGGAATGGTCCAGCATGGGCTCTGCACGACTCAGGTCCCGGCTCGAGATAAAGGACATCAGGGGACAGGTGCTGGGAAAAGTCCGTTCTTTCCGGGACACCCACTGACGGTCTAAGCAGGCCACGGTTTGAACTAGGTAGTCCGACCGTCTGAAGCTTCATGCATTCACTGTTAATAGTTTGAATACCCTCAATGGGCTGTGAGCAGTGTTCCCTCTAAGCTGTGGAGTCCCAAGAGCAAAAATTCTACTTTGTGAGCTCCTGGCATGGAAGTTGTGAGTGAGCAGTTTGGCTGCTGCATCAATCAGTTTGCTCTGGAGCCCCATCCTTCCTGAGCTAGGATGAAAATGTGTGAGCCGGAGGCTAAAAAAACTGTGAGCTAGCTCACACTGACTCAGCTTAGAGGGAACACTGGCTGTGGAGTGTGGGGTGGATATATCCAGGATAGCAGGAGCATACAGGAAGGATCAGGAGATTTTGCCAGGCGGAAGGGCGGCAGCGGCACGTGATGTTGGAATTCTGTGATCAGAATACCTGATGTGACCCATTCGGCCTTGAAACTGCAGCCGTGGTAGTGGCCCCAGTTTATTTTATTTTATTTATTTACTTCACTTATGAAGTTGCTGTTTTTACTGGAAATATTTACTCGCTCCCGCGCTTGTTGTGGCTCCTGAAAATTTGATGCCGGCTTCTCCGGCGTGTAGAATCCTCTTTTTGTTCTCAGCAGGGAGTGTGAGTCGGGGTGGGGTGGGGTGGGGGTGGGGGGGTGACGCCGAACAGCAGTCATTTAATTGCCCCAGGAAGGAGTTGGAACAACCCTGCTGTTTGCAGGAACTGATGCACCAGGTGAACAGAGCAAGCCAGACCGGGAAGGAGTCATCGGTTGGCAAACTGGCAAGGCGGAAGTCAGCTCAGAAACTTGGCAGGATTTTCCTGTTTGAGTCACAAGAAGGTCCACGATGCCTTTTAGGAGGGTCAAGCGGGCTTCTATTAGCCCTTGCTAGTAACAGCTCTGATGTGTGGGGAAGGGGCCCTCTGGGGAAACAGTCTGGAGGGGAAGGACTCCCTGCATCCCACCAAGCCCAACTCTCCCCCTCCCCGGTTGTATTCTGAAATCACACTGGAGAATCCCACCACTGACTCTTTAACTCTGTTGCTCTTGCAGCCAATGCTCCCTCTGAGCTGTGGAGTCCTGTGAGCAACATTTCTACTTTGTGAGCTGCTGGCATTAAAGTTGTGAGCGAGCGAGTTGGCTACTGCATAAGTTAGCTTGCTCTGGAGCCCCGTCCTTCCTGAGCGGAGACAAAATTGGGTGAGCCGGAGGCTAAGATTCTGTGAGCTAGCTCACACTAACTCAGCTTAGAGGGAACACTGGTGGCAGCCATCCTGTTTGGGGGCTTCCTAGAGTCAGCTGGTCAGCCGGTGTGAACAAAATAATGGACCGGATGGGCCTTTGGTCTGAGCCAGCGTGGCGCTTCTTGTGCTCTTAGGAAGAGATCCAGTCCCAGGTCTCCCTCGTAACACGTGCCTTGACCCTAGGAGTGTGGGCGTGGACCCAGGAAGGCCCCCGTTCGAATCTCAGACATAGGAAGAAGGAGGAGGAAGAGGAGAGATTGGATTTATGCCCCATGGCCCTTCACTACCGAAGGGAG